TGATTATGATATGTTTGCTGACGAGGATGATAACAGTAAGCCATCTACAGATGAAAATAATACAGTTAGTCAATCTTCATCGGACGCCATATATGGCACTGAGGGTAGGTAAATTGGCCTCCAAAGTCTTTGTTACTGATTTTTATTTTATTAGTATTTACTTAACATTGTTCTACTTTTCTTTCAGGTGGAGCATTGCAAAATGATTATGTGTATGATGAATCTTCTGGGTATGGTTCTTCTCTTCCATGTAAATTTTGGGAAATAGTCTGATATACATGACATTATTTATCTTTGTTGTAAATTTCAAAACCAAAAAAAAAAATCATTATGGTATTAAGGAGGTGGCAAAAGTTGAGGGTTTGTACCCATTTCTTCTTCTAATGAATTTTGTTACCAAAAAGAGCTGTTATAAGCTTGTTCTGACATCAATATTTGATGGTCCAGGTACTATTATAGCAGCAGTTTGGGCTATTATTATGATCCAAATACCGGGCTTTATTGCTCTGCAGCATCAGGACAATGGTACATCACATTCCTTTATCATCTTTTCGTGTGGTTTGTCAATTTTTATGCTGACATCTTTTAGCCTTTGTTTACCGTAAGTGGTGCCAAACATAGATGTGGATTTGGATGTGTCTTTAGTTGTTTGTTAAAATTTATTCTTGATTTGTGATATTTTTTGTTGGAAACTATATCAAGAGATGTTTCAATTTATAGATCTTTGGTGGCATAAAAACATGCAGGGTGATTAGTTGTATAATTAACACCTTTGGCCGAGAGGAGGGAAATAATATTGTATGTTTGTTGGGAGAGGCAAAGAGAAGAAATGGTTTCAAAAAACGGTTGAACTTATTTTACTATTTCTTATTTATTTCTACTCATCTCTTATCCCATCTCTTATCTATGGTGGGAGATGCAAATCATGTTTCTAGCTGACTGGGGCCGCTCCTTTTTTATTTGAATTCAGGTACTCATTTAATGAGGAGACTAGCACCTATGAAGAAGTTGAGAAGGCTGCATCCAACGTGAACTGAGGGACTTGTCTCAAGGAACAATAGGCTAGTTATAGCATAGCCACAATCATTGTCTGCGAGTGGCTCATGTACAGACCGAAACACTCTTGAACTTTTTGTACGTTATGAGGGACTGCTACCACTGCTCAGAGTTGTGCTTTTATCTCTTATAAGGTTGTTGTTTTATATTAGCTATACTTTTTTGCTTAAAATTAACTTAGAATGATCCCTTGAAGTTAGAATCAATACAAGTTATACAATGTTAACCCTTATCAATTTGCGAGACATATTCACTCATGCCCTCAAATTGCAAATCACTTTGCTTGTGCAATTAGATAATTATTATTTTTGACATCATTTTTTTGAAGTGGCGTCACAATAGCCCCTTGCCAATGCATTCTGTAAGTACTGGCCATTCTTTATTCGTGAAATATTAGTTTTACAATACCAGTGGTGTTCTGCAATGTTATGTTGCACTTTTTGTATTCTGTTGATTGTATTTCTCTTTTTTCTGCTGTTAATTGTAACAAAAAATGCAGAATCCACGCATATGACATCAAATCTGTTTGAAACTAAATATCATGTTCATCCTCAACTCAATTTTGTTTACCATGCCACAACCATATCAAGAATGATTAAAAATACATGCGAAACAAATTTATAAAACTTTAAGAACAAAATGCCAATAAGCTGGCTATATATGAGGAAAGTATTATTCATGGTTGAGTTATTATATCTTACAAATGAAATATAAACGTAATTCTCGACCTATCAATTATTACTAGCATGAACCAACCAATTATAGTCATCGAACCAAAATGATTTCACCAGAATGATTAAATATTCTAAATTATTATACATTTCTTTGAATCCCCGAGACTGATGACAAAAAGTAAGAACTGGTTTCTCAAGCTTTATCCCAGGGATGAATATCCGTTAAACATGTAAGACGTTCATCTTCTTTTCTTTTTTTTCTCTAAAAGACAACAATTTTTTGTGTATTTTTATAATATATATTTCCAATATTGTGATAAGATAATTCGAATGTTGTCTATCTTACGAAGCCCATATCCATTATCATCTGGCGCACAATTAGTTTTGTTGCTTCCATCGCATTCTCTGTAACGCTTTAAGACGGCGAAATCCGGAAAATCTGGTCCTTCTTAATGTGAGAATATTACAGCTTATATATATTAAGTAAATTTTCAAGCATTTTTTTTATTACATATTTTTCACATTAGAGTCGTTACATATTCGACATTTGATATAATAACAATTGAAAAGTCAAGTTCCTCACTTTTGCCCTTTTATTTTTAAAAGGCATTTCATTGAGTTTAGAAAAAAATAATACATAAATTACCATTAATTTTGACGTGAATGCAGTAACTTTTGGATGTAAAAGAACAAACTTATCAAGGATGTTTAAGAATTGAAGTGTGCTAACGTTTCACATTATAAGTTTTTGTCCATTGTAAAATTTGATGCTTTTATAACGGGATATGGGTAGTGAAAAAAAATATATAATTATAGTTATATTTTTATTAATTCAAATTAATATAATAAATATGTTATAATTTTTTTAATCTCGTGGGTTTCACGTGTGCAAATACTAGGAATTAAACAAAGTAGTCTCCCAAATCTAACTCAACTTCTTTCGGATGAGTCAAATGTGATAGAAACTAATTCCTTATTATAATAATACCTATAGTTGGAGTCGATGATACCCTATAATTTATGTGCACTCTTATTTATAAATTCTTACCAAGGTCAAATTTGTTTTAAATCAAATATACTTAAACTGTAATAAAAGTTATCTATGTCTAAATTTATTTGGATAGTGACAAAAACAATTCATGTAATTTTCTAACATGTAATTTTCCAATAAATTTTAGAAAAAAAATTAAAGTAGTTATAATACCTATATCTGAAGTAGTTATTACCCTTTTAAGTGGATATTTCCATTGGAATTGTTTGTGTAAACCATTAATAAAAATTCCTACTAATTTAAACAAATGAAAGTAATTAAATATGAGTTGAGAAATCCAATGGGTAGTGTGGGACCCCATAGAAAAAGTTCAGTCAGATGCCGTTTTGCATTGGTATCACACTCTCTCACTCACGCGTGATCAGCACCACCACCTTGTGTTGTTGCGGGAAAGAATGGAATGGAAGCACCGTCCCTTCATACCGTTATGCTATGTCCAATTCATGCCAAAACCCTCTTCCTGAGATTCTCCCATTTCTCCATGTGAAACCCTAACCTCCATTTTCCGCATCCCGCTAACCACATGGCTGACGAGATCAATCGCGGAACGTCCGTGGACTCCACTGAATCACGCTGGGTTTTCCAGGACGACGACGATGACTCCGATTTAGAGAACTTCGACGCGGATTTGAGATTTGGACGCCAAGCTGCGGTCGTTGATTCCGACGAGGAAGAGGACAACGCGGAGCAGAGACTCATCCGCACTGGTCCTCGCGTCGATTCATTCGACGTGGAGGCTCTTGAAGTTCCCGGTGCTCACAGAAGTGACTATGAGGTCTCTTTCCTTTTTCTGCTTTTCATTATTATCTTATGATAATTCAAAGGAATTGCAAGTTTTAAGTGCACGGTTATGTCGCTTGAAGTGATCATGCCAAGTTGAAATTTATAATGGATATATATTTATATCGACCTTAAATTTTCTCTGTCTCCCTGTGGGACCTTGTGAATTGTGATTGTTAATTTAGTGTTATGGCCTGCTCCACATATGGAAAAAAAGTGGAAGGAAATTAGATGTGGAATACATGATTCAACCTGCAGTCTGCATTCACGGAACACAACTGAATGTTTAACGTGGATGTTGAAAATTAAACAAAGTAGCTCCTGGAATCCCGATACAACCAAATTCTTGTGTGCATTGCAACCTCAATGACGATCTTACTATTTATAGCATTTAGTGTCTAGGGGATGCTTATATTTGTTGTTGTCCTTCTTCTTTTATAGGTATGGGTGTTTGTTTTTCTTGTTATGTTTATGGATTCTGCAAATTTTGGCTTAAGCTTTGGGTGTTGTTCCTTTTGTTTACTTTCCGGATTCTCGGAACTTTAGTCCGTGATTGACTGATGTATTCTACTTGTACACCGGCATGCGGTTCCATCCCTTAAAATGTCTTAGTATTCATCATGAGATTTTATATATTAGTAATTTTTGCTTTTTGTCTTCATTATATATCATTTCAGGACATCAGTGTGGGTAAGAAAATTGTATTAGCTATTCAGACGCTTGGTGTTGTCTTTGGTGACGTTGGAACAAGTCCCTTGTATACCTTCAGTGTTATGTTTAGAAAGGCCCCTATTAATGGAAATGAAGACATTCTTGGAGCTTTATCACTTGTCTTGTACACATTAATCTTGATTCCTTTATTGAAGTATGTCCTGGTGGTTCTGTGGGCCAATGATGATGGTGAAGGTATGTTAAAAGTAAATGTTCTAAACTAAAGCTTGTGGTACGAACATCCTCAAAATAATATTTGTTCTGGAACCATTGCAGGTGGTACGTTTGCCTTGTACTCGTTGATCTGTCGTCATGCTAAGGTTAGTCTTCTCCCTAATCAGTTACCATCAGATGCCCGTATATCAAGCTTTAGGCTTAAGGTGCCATCCCCTGAGCTTGAAAGGTCATTAAAAATCAAGGAAAGACTTGAGAATTCTCTGACTCTGAAGAAGATTCTACTAATATTAGTTCTTACTGGTACTTCCATGGTGATTGCTAATGGTGTTGTTACACCGGCAATGTCAGGTTTTTTACTGTTCTTACTTCATTTTCCTGTAATTTCTTCAGACTTGCTTTGGTCACAACGTGTTCAGAATGATGTCAATGCCATATATGCATTGATATAATGATATGTTGTTGCTAGTATTCATGACCAACTATTGTTTTCATTAACCTATCTATTGTTTAATTTACAATGATTTTCTTTCTATCTTTTCTTTGTTGCAGTACTGTCATCTGTTGGCGGTTTAAAAGTTGGGGTAGATGCTATCGAGAAAGGTATTACGTAACCTATTAATGAACTCTATTATATGTAACAGTTATTAATTACTTGATTGATAGTTGATGTCCATAGAGATGACCGAAGATTTTCAGTTTAGACCTTTTATCTTTTTCTTCTTTGGCTGATCATTTAAGCTTAACATAATATCAGTAGTGCTATCTATCCACTTTGTTTGAGAGGTTAGAAAGCATTTTTTCAAGTATGTAATTTTTTGTGGGATGTTTTGTTGAGTTGGGCATAATTTTAAGCTAATTTATGTCCTTTTGTTTTAGTCATTTGTATAGTTGCTTGAAACTTTTTTTTCATTCTCGTCTATGCAGATGAAGTGGTGATGATTTCAGTTACCTGCCTTATCATTTTGTTCAGTGTGCAAAAGTATGGAACAAGTAAAGTGGGACTTGCAGTAGGACCTGCTTTGTTCTTATGGTTTTGTTCTCTTGCCAGCATTGGGATATACAATCTTGTGAAGTATGACAATAGTGTCTTAAGGGCATTTAATCCTATTCATATCTACTACTTCTTCAAAAGGAACTCAACCAAAGCATGGTATTCTCTTGGGGGTTGCCTACTGAGCGCAACTGGTAAATACATACGCTCAAGATCTTGATACTACAAATGCAATAATACTGTAATTTTGTCTTGTCATGTATGTAAATTTGGTTCTACTGGTCTGTTTTATTTGTTTTAAGGACAATTTGTTGCCAGAAATTTTGATGATCAGTGCATGGGTTTTAGTGTTTTCTGCTACTATCTGAGGAGAAATAGTTCGAATTTTGAGGTTATTAGTTAACTCATTCTATCACTGTAATCCCTTCCCGCCCATGGCAACTTAATATTTTAATGTGGTAAAATTACAATACAGATGAATCTTTTGCTGGCATATGCACAACCTATTCGACTGCAAACATATTTAATGACTGTTATCATGTTGCAGGTTCTGAGGCCATGTTTGCAGATCTTTGCCACTTTTCTGTCCGATCAGTTCAGGTAATAACTTTATTTGCTAGTCATGCTTCTTTTATTTGCTCTGTGTGTCGGCGAACTATTATGCTGGTGAAGCTGATGGTTCCAATTTGCAGCTTTCATTTGTCTTCCTTGTTTTGCCGTGCCTGCTATTGGGTTATTTGGGTCAAGCTGCATACCTTATGGAAAACCATGCTGATGCTGGTCAAGTCTTTTTTTCTTCTGTTCCGAGTAAGTGTTGATAATATTACTCCTTACACTGTGTTGGCTTTGTGTTTTACGTAATATTCAAGTAATGATATTCTCTGTCTGCAGGTGGTGCGTTCTGGCCAGTTTTCTTTATTGCCAACGTGGCTG